TCACTGGTCTCAGAGTCTGGCCTCTCACGGTTACCTTGATCAACTGGGATGTCCTCACTGGTCTCAGAGTCTGGCCTCTCACGGTTACCTTGATCAACTGTGATGTACTTACTGTCAACTGATTCTAAGTCAGCATTTTTACAACAATGTACTCCATCTTTTGGTTGAGATTTCTTCACAAATTGCCAAGGTACACCAGTCTGCCTGCAATCACAGCACTGTACACAGGACAGTTCATGCAAACAAGCATGCTCAACAAAACTGGCAGGGTGATTATCCAAATGACATGCACAGTACAGACATACACATGCACTGTGGGATACATCACAGATTCTCATACCTGTGGTCTCGGTGGACAGTCCAACACAGCTGGTGCTCTGCGTGCTGGTAACATGCAGTGGGTGACCCACAAAACTTTGTGCCATAAGGGAAGGGACGACCAGACATGCAGGATTCTCATCATCATCGGTGCCCATACTGTCATCAATAATACAAGGCAGGGGCAGGATACCAGCAGCCTCATCCTCCTCAGTGCATACCATAAACCCATACCCCATACCTGTCTCGCCCTGTGTGTCATCCCTTCCCTCACCATCAGCCTGTGGGGTTTTGTCATCTTTATTCTGTGAGTCAGTGCTTTGGCCATGGCTCTTTCCTTGTAGATGTCGTTGTCTGAAGGCGTTAATGTCACTTGCAGCTATGCTGGATAAACGTCTCAACCTCATTGCTGATTTCACGGCTGTTAGTGCTTTCTACAGCAGAAACATATTGAATTCAAGACAAAAATCAAAATATTCAATAATTACTAAGAACAATTCAGCGCAACAGTCAAACTCAAGCCCTAAGTATTAAACCAAACCTGAACCACTTGAGAAGTCATATTACCACATGACACAAGAATGTATGGACAAAGACAAAGCATCCATGAAAAACTCAAGTCAAAAGCCAGGACTCACTCTGCAGACCTACACAGCTAAATACCACTGCTCCCCAGTCAATCCCAAGATGCACTGCAAGACTCACCTGCCATTTCCGTCGAGAATTGAATGTCTTGAGTCTCTGTGTACTGAGTTTAGCTACACCCTGGTCATGACGTTCATCAAACTGTGACAAGAGACAAGACAAGACAAGGATGTAAATAAGATTCAAATATCAGTCAATTTGGGACCTTGAACCCCTTCTCTAAATCCCCCCCCCAAAAAAAAGTGAGAGAAAATAACTTTGAAAGAAACACACATGGTTGTGTTTAGAACTCTGTTGTTTTTCCCTAACAAGGCTAACACATGAGAATGGTTGTTCAACCTGTTTATCTGATTCCTAACTCTTCCAGTCTTCCAACTGCACTGTTTGCAGCAGGTCACTCCTAGATTTTTGTCCCCACTATAACCAGCAGGTATACCACTGAGTTCACTTAGATTTAAATGTCACCACTTGAAACAGTCAACTCCAAAGTTTATACACGGTGTGAAGTCTTCTTGAAGCCCTTCATCTAGGTTAAAGTGTAGTTTCCTCAAGCATTTATCAATGCTAACCACCATCTCAACACTTCGATGGCAGAGATGCTATCCATCTCTTGATAGCTGCCAGTGATAAAATTCAATACCTTTCCATGAAAAAGTTTGTCCAAAACTGTTGTAACATGCGTTCTCTTTAAACACAATGCATACCTTCAACCAGGAATGTTGCAAACACTGATCCAACGAAAGTCTTTTTCTGAAAAAGAAAGTTACATTTTGAGATAACTCTTACTCTACTAAGCTTGGTTAAGAATGAACAACACCAGTATTTTGCACGGCATTGCTCTACTGAAAAATATGCTCAGCACAGGAAATACTTACGGAATGAGAACAAGTTACCAATCACCATGGACTGTGACATGGATATTTATCACACAGTGTATTATTATACCTGCAGATACTGACCATGTAAAAACTAAAAAGCACTGTCTTCCTTGCCCAATGCATCATTTTTACATGGACTATTGTTCTCACAAACAGAGGTCTCAACTCATTTTTTTAGTGCCTGGAAATACGGGTAGCAGACTGACACATTGGCAGGGAGTTTCACAATGAATCCTGTTCTATCATACAGTGTACAGTGGTAGTCAGTTAGGAACTAAATTCTAGTGGATTCTTCATTGAAACATCCCTCTATCACAGAGATTTCCTTTGAAATTGGAACTTTGAAAGGATCAAGTAAACCTTTTTGCTGCCATGGTGACTATTTAATGTTGGTTGTTTTCAAACCTCACTGTCTTCACAACAGTGTCTAAAATGATCCCTCTTCTGTGAAAAACTACATGTAAATCTGAAACCTTGGACTGCATCTGGAAAGTATTACCCATATGCATCAGAAGAAATGCAGTCGACTATTAAAAGTGTATGGATGTAGGGTAATTTCTTTTAAACAAAGGATTTACTCAATTTAATTTTCTTGAGACTTTCATTCTTGAGATCTTACTTTGGATCCAGCACCAGGACAGCTTTGAGAAACTCCTTAGCTTCATCGGAAATGCTGTCCCAAACCTCATCATCAAAGTCCCAGTAACCACGTTTGACCTTCATTAATGTCTGCTTGTCATCGTCGCCCATGAAGGGAGACATTCCACTCAATCTACATAAAGAACAGCAACCGCATATTTATTCATCACCCTGACAACAACATTCTAAATGACTTTTTAGCAGATGTGCAAAACAGCACTAAATGTACTCACAGAATGTAAGCCATGACACCAATACTCCAGACATCTGAAGCAGTAGAAACCGGCTGCTTACAGACGACCTCAGGGGCCACAAATTCTGGGGTGCCAAATTTGCATATGACGTCCCTGTCCGGAGACACTACTCTTGCCAAGCCGAAGTCAATGACCTTAAGGTCATCCGAGTCAGGTGACACCAGGAGAATGTTCTCAGGCTGTGAGGAGATGGATAGAGGAATTCTTGAACTTATGGACGTGATGGTGAAAGGTCAACTAAATGCCTTGCAGGCATTCAAATGAATATTTGCAGCAAATCCAATATGGCTCTTTCTGACAGGCACACTGTGCCCACTCCAATATGTTAGGACTTGGCCTGATGTGATGAAGTCACAGGCCGTGTCCAAAATGGGCTTTCAGTTTTACGGCTAGGTCTATGGTCTACGCATCTCCGCACATTTCCAATGGAGGGAAGACCTGGACCTAGCTCTAGACCACAGACATGTTGTCTTTGACAAAGTCATGGAGTGAATAACTCCTACCGACTATACCTACCAAATTTAGCTTTATTTAACAACAGTTAGATTTGCCAAATACTGAAAAAGTTCTGACTTTAGATTGTAGTTCTGGCTGTAGATCAAACAGGCATAAAATAAAGCTCACTGACAACTTTGATCAAGCTGAATTGGAAGACTCAGCTGAATATTTGCAAACGTGTTCCCAGCTTCGACATTTAACAAGTGGATACATGTAGGTCTCTTTTATTAACCCTGACTTGAAGTGAACCCTCACCGGCGAAAGAAAGACGGACTGGTAAAAAGTTTTCCAACTTGGTTCTTGCACTCACATTCGGCGTGCGCGCGAAGACCATACATTCCAGAATAAATTTGTTGCACGTGCTCCGCGTCAAACACGCATAAACTTGTGCACCTACGTGGTGAGTTCGTACCAAAGGACTGTCAATTTCATTTAAAAACACACCCTCTTTTGTTCCCGCTACGAGTAGATAGCCAATGTTCTTGACGCTTTCTGTTTCTTGACCAGATATCACCCACCTTCAGATCCAGATGAACTATATTCTTCTCATGCATGTGATGGACTCCCTCAATGACTTGCTTGATGAAGAACACCGTCTCACTCTCTGTGATGTGATCTCGAGATACAATCCTCTCAAAGAGCTCACCTCCGCTGACACTGAGATGGGGAAGACCATTAAGGAATATACAGCACTGAAATAACAACTGTGACTACATCATCTCAACAGCACTACCTGATAGAGTTAGCAACACAGCTGCAACCAATTTACTCAAAGTAATTACATGTACAGATGAGCGTTCAAGCAAACCTGTAGTGTATTTCAATGTTGCAATTTAATCCCAACTGATACCAGAAGCACCTTCCAGGTACCCTCAAACAGTAACGCGTACATGTACTTCACTTGTGCTCACAAACTAATTAAGATTTAGACTGCATGCAAAGTACACAAAGTTGGTGTTTTGGGACACTATGTCAATTAGAGTTGTTCAATGAAACTGTCAAAAGCGGCAATAAAGCCATTGTCTCACCACAATTTCAGTTTCAGCTCATTCACATTCCACACGAGTCAATATGGCTTAGAATGTAAAATAAATACATATACAACTGCTCATGTGAAATTAATACATGTACTAGCTGCATACTCATTTTGCACATGAGCAATTGTTTAAATCATTTCCTTTCAATGCGAGTACTGGACAGCATTTTTCTCCTTAAGTCTTCAAGTTTGAGACCAAATCCTACTTGAAAGTTGGTAAACCTGAGAGACCATGTACACACATGTAAATGTCTGAGTACAGACACAGACAGAATGTATAACTAAAGCACGAACCAATGCCGAGCATCACAAGAGATCCCAAGTCCAATTACACAGTATCGTACATGTACACCTGAATCCATCAACACAACATGCCCAACTCGGCCAGCCGTCCAACCATGAGGTGATCTCTCGGAGTACATTCAGTCATGCCCACACGTAGAAGTGCACAGGAAGTGAAACTACAATGTTCCTTATTGACAGCAAGTCATCAAGTGTTGTCTCCACTGGAGCTTGTGAGAGTTCATTGTTCAGATAAAGCCTACCTTCAATGCTGACAGAGACCCCCCTCCATCTAAAAAAAACCAGAAAAAACCTGACACAACACATGTGCTCGGTCTATCCATAAATAGAACTAACAATCCGGTAAGAGTCCTGTACAAATGGAGGAGAAGATTTGTTTACAACTAGTTACTGCTGACAAAATCTATGTACAAACACGGCTGATCTTCAGTAAGGAAAGTATGACATACACCTCTGGCAAGGCAGTCTTTGATATACTGATATGATCAGGCACCTAACCACATTTGTGCATATACACATGTGTTTATGGTCACAGAAATTGCTGCTGATACAGAATTGCCCTCAAACCAAACAAAACAGACTAGAAACCATTAAAAGAAGTTTTAATAAAAAGCTTTTTAAGAACAGAAATTTGTGTCTACTAACCTAATATTTACAACCCAATGACAACCTCAGGTAAGGTGTAGGAAGTGAACAGCGGACATATTCCCTTCCCAGGCCAATATAACCATTGTCATGGTAATAATCAAGTCATCTAACATGTCTCAACACGCATCTTCATTTAGTCTTACCATACACATGAATAATGCACCTCAACATGACAGAGGATTTCTTGTACAGTAACAGAATCAATCTATACAGATGAATAGTCGGATCACAAAATGGAGTTAAATCAACTACCTTGTTTATAATTTTTTCAAATGCTTCCTGTTAAACGAGTCAAACAGGATGCATCTGACAATGCATCCGGCTTGTTTCGATCTCACAGGAAGCTACGATTGTAATTGTTGGAAATTAAGCTACGTGGGCACAATACCATTTAGCACAACATCACCAGGGTTCATCAGCCATGCAAGAACAGAACACTGGTATTTGTCAGTCAGTGAGCCATGGATGAAATCCCTATTGCTGTGACAAAACTGAAACTGATTGCCAGACAACCCCTGGAAAGCCCATTGACCAGGATCATAGTGACTATACTCATGTAAACTATGTATACACAAGACTTTGCAAACAGAATGGGGATGGGTGATGTTTGCCTGGGGATAAATAAATATTGACTGGAAATATAACTATGAGGAACTGGTTTGTAGGGCAGGTGCTTAACAGACAAGATACTTCCTCAACATCCAATGTTGGAAGAATTTGACTACACAAGGAAAAGCATGTTTCAAACTTTGAACATGAGTAACTCACATGAAAGTCATGAAAATTGAGAAATTTGATGTTGCAAGCGCTCCCGAAATTTGCATGTAAAGTTACTTTTTCCCTCAGTTTACCAGTAAATTTAATTTGCCAAGTGTTTACAGTACCTGGAAACTACATTACAGAATTCATTAACTTTAACCTACCAGGACATGAGAAAAATCATACAACTTTGCTGATAGAGGACTGCATTGTATTTCTCCTCACGTTACCAACAGTGAAGTCCTTGATATCCTTTTAACTGATGAACTTACATAAGCTCGTTCCAGATTGTCAACTGCTGTTCCTTCAGCAAACTTGTGCAAACTTTCTCCAGGATTACAGTCAACATAAAAGATGATGGGTCAGTTCAAGGCAGTGGGGCAACTGGAGTGAAATTTCTAAGGAATGGGGGCACCCAAGGGGTGCACACTTTTTTCAGGGGGAAATCACAAATTGTTGAACTACAGTTGGAACATAATCTTTATCCAGACCAAAATTTCAATGGGGAAGGTGCACCCAGAAAAAAGTTTCAAATTTACTGGTGGCTTAAATGCTCAAATACTATCAGGAAGTAAAGTGCCACTGTAAGGATTATTCTAGTAATATCGGAGGCAGCTACATACGAACATCACCAATACTCCGTAGACTTTCCCCTTTTGTCCTACATCTACACGTAAACCAGCAATCAATAGCCATCACAAAAGCAACACACTCCTTCCCAGAAAGAAGTCTACTAACAGGATTACACGGGCTGACGTGACATAATAAGTCTGTGAATGGGCACTGTGAGCTAGAGGTACGTACCATTCAGGTCATCCACTTGGGGTTGGGATGAGGCCATAAAGTCTGGTACAATGCACCCATTTCTGTGCTTAATGGCATACTTGCTGGTGTAAATGTACCCCTGCTGTCTATTAAACTACAACTGTATATTAACAGGATCCTACAAAATTAAACATCGCAATTAACAAACAACTATGGACATTAAGAACAGCAGATACAGCATGTGCAATAGGAAGTCCTTACAATGGGTTGCAATATGATAGTACAATGTACATATAGTCCAGTACCCTGTCTGTCCTTTTTACAAGAGTGGCTGAACACACTCAGGTTGCATGTGAGACAATGTATACAGAGAGAGTGCAAGCAACTTGCTCCAACAGTAAATACTGAAGGAATGCCACATCATCATTGTGTGCAATTCCCATGTCGACCCCATAACCTAGTCCATACTTCCTCATTCCTTTCTCTTTTGAGTTTAACACGTGGAAAAAGGATTTCTTAGCCTGAGGGTCCTCCCCTATAAGCAGGTTTTCTCACTTGCGACATTCAGCAAAACCTATTAATAATGCTTTTGACAGGATCACAGACCTGTATTAGATCACATACCCGGAAATTCCAAAGTCCGTTTCCTTTGCATTTCCTGTGTGTACCCTATACAGAGTACTTTCACAATCTTGGTGAATGTTTCAGCAACTAGCTTCAAGTTACCTACATGCAGTGTCTCACCACAAATCGGTGAGCACATTAGGCCAGGCAAACAATCAATGCAAACTCTGTGAACATACAGCACCAAGATCGTATTGAAGACGTTTCTATTCTATGGTAGTTCTATTGCATCAAAAGCACACTTAGAATGCAAGTATGTGCATGTCAATGCATGTGAATCATTTTAGCATTCTAATAATCTACAAAAAATAGGAAGAGTCCAGATATGCACGGGTTATAGATATAATTCTTAGAACTTTTCAGACAAGTGAATGGCTGTCCTTTAAACAGCGAGAGAGAGAAAAAAATTATCTGACTCGGATGCAAACCAAGACATTTTGCCTCTGGTTACATAGGGAATGCTTTCTGTGTTCAGAGTTCAGACAATCTACCTGGCAAATACACCATATTTCCAAATTTTCCAGACAAAATATACAATGTCAGACCACAAAATGGTTGAACGGTAACTGGAATTTGCTATCACTGCCACGTAAGCAATGCTACTGAGACAGAAATAAGAAGATGAAACTGGTAATAGGTGTTGAGTTAGTGGGACTGTACACTGTGAAACTAGAATCAGCTATTTGGAATGATAGATTGTTGAGTACATGATATCAGTAAGGGGGGGGGGATATTTCAGCTCCATCAAGCTGACATGACAGACATTATAATGCACAAAATCCACTTCAATTCCCTGGGAGATATAGTCAGCTGTTCAACTGCTATCGGGTACAATCTAAAAACACTACTGTTTATTTCATATTTGCATCAGGCAACTTCAATAACTGTACTGGCTAATCAGCTCTTTTCAACTCCAGGTGTTTGTTGAGTCCAATGAAACAAAAAGCTTATCATTAATCTTCATTTGTACGAACTATTATAATTTTTTTTTTGCACATTGAAAGTAGAGTACACGGCATGTCTCAACAATGAACACCCCTCCGCCCCCCAAAAAAACCCTAAGCGGAAATTGTTCCTGAAGAATCACTAAACCATTCTAATTTTTGTTAGACTGAATGACCATTAAACACCAGTTACACCTTAATTCTAAAGCCTAGCTATTCCTACTTTTAGAGGAAGAAAATGAGAAAAAAAAAAAATTTCTGATGTTGTTTTGGGAGCGCAATCATTCCATCTGCATGATCTGTCAATATTACTGCATAATTTGCCAATAATTCTGCCATCGGCCTATCGCCAATTCTTCCTAATTTGCAATTGCGGGAGATTATTTGGAAACCGGGAATTCAAGTCAGATCAGAAATTTCACATGGGATGATTAGAATTAACTGATAGCAAAACACAATAACGCAATCATGCTGATTGACTGATTGTGCCCAACATCAACAATTGTTTCATTGTAATATTCCTGGTCACTGTTTCATCCACATTAAAGTCTAGTTTGAACTATGGCCGTGTCCGAAACGGGCTTCCAGAGCTACGGCTAGGTCTATTGTCTACGCGTCCCCACGCATTTCCGATGGAGTGAAGACCTAGACCTAGCTCTAGACAAGAAAGTCGGATGCAGCCTATGTTTAAGGCAGTGCCTGTGCCAAATATATGAGGCTCAACAAAAAAACTAAATTAAACATGTAAAACCTGCAGCAGAAATGAGCATAAATTTCTCAGTGTAATGCAAATTAAAGATCAACACCAAATTAAACGGTGGCAAGCTGCAAGAAACGTACCTCACCTACAAATGTAAATGTCCCGCTACGATGTAACTGTTATCTCCTAGGATGCACTGCTCAACTGTAAATCACCCTGCGTTCAAATGCTCAGTGGGCAGGCTACGTACACACAATGAAGTTTACAGGCAGAACATGCTCCTTGCATTCAGTGGGCAACAAGCAGGTTCTCCACATCCGTCAGACTGGGAGTGGGACCACTTGTGCCACGGAATATGGTCCACCAATGCACTCTCATAAGCCTATCGCTATCGCTCATGTTCCAATACACCATCACAGCCCACAGGATAGGATTCACAGGATCACATAGGGCTCATATCAGCTTGTTCTGGGCTCTGATTTTTACTGGACCAAGTGTCAACAGCAGCTTTCCTGAGTTTACTCCTCCACCAACCACTCTGGAGTCACCCAGCGACACCTGATGGGCCTGATGATAAATAATTCACACTGGGACTGCAACAATGGCTCTCCAAATACAACATGAATAGGGACTCCCTCAGACCATGGAGGTACACATTGAACTCCCTGACAGGTCAAACTTAGCTCTCTGTGTCAACTAGCCAAGGCCAAGAATTTTGAGGTTCACAACATGCACAATAACAGAAGTAATTGAACATCATACCTGCATTGGAATGGAATGGCCCAAATTCCTAGGGGTGAACTTTGTGGCTGACAGTTAACATACAGGGTACCGGGCTGCAGGTGGTTAAAGGAAACACAACCCCTGGGAATAGACCATCCAATTTTTAATGGGAATTCTCTTTTTTTTTGGCCAACCTCTCACTGGAAAGCAAGTGAAGTGTTTGAGTTCAAGGTTGTTTCATGTCCATCAATGTGGGTTCAATAATGAATACAGAGTTAGAAAAGTGATCACATGGAAAAATGAAAGCCTAAAATACATATGGACTATGAAAAGTAACCATGTATCATGATCATTGATGCCATGTGACCTAAGCTGCAGACTGTTGTCTGTGTCAGTGTAAAGACAAGTGCATGACTTGAACATGGAGGATGGGCGGCTACATGGTTGAATCTCACCCTAGCTCAATAAATGTTTTTGAAGACCTTCAGGAATCCTTCACCTACATGCTAGAAACATGCTAGGGTAAAAACTGGACCGATTTGTAAAAGGTGGGTGCCATAAGACCCCTCAACACAGCAACTTGTACTCAGACCTCTGCCTTATCAACTCTTTGCAAAATACTGGATAGAGTAGACTCATATCATGGTTGAAAAACCAAAACCAGGAAAAAAAAGCCTGTTTACTTTCTGAGGTTTGTAACTCTTAGACCACCTACACAGTTATTGCAAAAATATCTAGACTTCTTGTAATCCTTCACACCAGCAAAATAAACAACATCTCCAATTCTGTCTGGAAGCTAAATTCTGGGTTCTGTAAACACAGACAGTCAAAGGTCAACTGAGGTCACATGAATGTTGACACAAGACTTAAGCTACAAAAACTCCTCCTAAGTCAGCCAGACAAATGCAGGATGTAAACATCTTGGGGCACTTGGGTCAACTTACAAGCTGAACAGATTACCTAGAGGGGTGCCTAATGGAGCCGGTGAGGGAGGGGGGATGTCTCCACCCACAAAAAAACATCCAGGATATATACAACATATGTACAGTATATTCTCACCATCTCAGACATGTTTCCATGTATTAGTGTCACAAATCATTTTCAACTATATGGAATATTGTCCAATTAACATTACCATATATCATCCCGTAACATCACCTGAAAAATGTTGCAGCGAGATAAATGATTGATTTTCATTTTTAAAGAATCGACCATCCATTAACACACAATGTTGGTGCCATGAACGTCTTCACACCTATCGGACTAGAATTCAATTACCATTTCTAGGGAATTCGATTAGCACAATACAATGCTCACACCTGCCACAAACTGTCTGAATAATGGAATGCAACCCCATGGAACAACTGACAACCTGTTGTTGTCGCATTCTCAGAGGAAAACATTCAATCATCATTAACTCCATCAGCATGATCTAATCCATACACGTCTCAATTGAACATTGCCACCAAAATTAATGACTACTTTATCTACTGGAAAACTGCTGTCACTGATTTTGAAATAATTTAGGCCTCCCTAGGCCCGTGGTAAGAAAATATATTCACAAATGCAACAGCATGAAATAATTGACTAGGTTAGGAATATGTAGCTAAGATGTGAGAATTAAAAGACAAGATCTAAGCATCGTAGGACTGCATAGCTTGATGACAGCTACAGATTGAGAGACTGTGAAACAAGTTGCAGCTCTGGAGTTGAAGAAGATGCCTTATTTAGTCATGATCATATGCATCTCATTTGAAGTTTTCATCTTGGAGTAAGAGTGACCAATTCCAATGATCTATTCTAATTGATATAGGTATTACTGTAAACATTGTTTAAGGAAATGCTGCCGACAAAACGAGGAAAAAAATGACTAACTTTGATTTGCTTCAAGAAAGGATACAGTTCCATGACCATGATAACATCTTGCTTGGTCTCATAAGAATCATAGATGCTGACAAGACGTTTATGATCCAGCATTCCCATCACCAAGACTTCTCTTCTCAGATCATCCCACATCCCATTCTTGACTCGGATGATTTTGACGGCACATTCTTTCTTGGTCTCCTTGTGGATGCACTTTTTCACGATACCATACGCACCTCTGAAATCAAATTACATTGATGAAATTGATATATTCTCAATTTAATTTTCCAAAGTTCAATGAAAGGTTTTCTTAATTATTCCCTTAATTATTGGATCTGGACCATGAAACTAATCCCAAGGTTGAAGGATCTTTAATGTGGACGACGTTATCACATGGTTTCTCTTTACTTTGTCATAACTAAATGTGTTCCTTTGAAGGGTTAAAAGGTGGGAAGTGTCAATGCGGGTCACGAAAATTTGTAAGAAAGAACAGGACCAACAAGTACTTTGCAAAATTTCAGCAACCCCTTACTCTATCATTGACTTTGCAAAGGACAGATTTCCAGGGGAGTAGACAGAAAGAACTGGTTGTTTTATGGGGATCCAAAATGGATAGGAACAGTCGAATGTCTAAAATGAAGAAAGTTTAATATTGAGAATGATCAAACCTTACAGTGATGTTTATGACAATCAAGAATGAAGTAAGAAACTTAAGAAAGACAGAATCGCTTACTTGCCGAGTTCAGCCAGAACTTCGTACTCATCTTCAACAGTCACATCCTTCTTGATCTTAATCCGACTGTCAGAGAAGAAAAACTTCATCGGATCTGAACACAGAGAAAGCAGAGGCCAAAATGATGGTGTAATTACTAACAGCTGATGGACATTTCTCCCCCTTTTTGACTGCGATATTAACCTTGCCAAGAAATTCCCCTTAATATCGATGATGGACGCATGATGTTTATCAATATTTTCTCACCTGGTACAGTAACCCTTGCAGAATGTGATACCTCCCCTGCCATATTGATAGCTGTCATCTTGTAAAATCCCTCATCATCCGGTACCGCCTGGTCAATCTTCAGGGAGCACATGTCCTCCCCCTCAAACAGGAAGGTGAATTTACTGGTCGGGGACAGCGGGCGCTCATCTTTGTACCAGATCACATCGGGCTCGGGGATGCCACCGACGCGGACGTCTAGACGAAGCTGCTCACCTGCTGGGGCACTGGTGTCAGGAAATCCTTTGATGATGTCAGGAGGCTCTGTAGAAACAAAAGAAGAGCGTCAGACCTCAGGCGACCATCTAGTCATAGAGCCATCTATTAAAGAGTGACCAGCCACCTGTCTCACTTTCCTTCAAGACTTCCATGCAATATGCAGCTGTCATACAGATACATTTATGATTGCATCTCTAAGATCAAATGTCACCATTATTGACGTAGTTCAGTTGTTTCCCCACACAAAGTTGCTGATACAAAGCTTCCAAAAATACTTTTAAACAATTCAGCCTGCCTGTTGAATCTTGTCCAAACACTTATTCATTAACTGAAGTCAGTATGGTTAACAGAAGGCACCGCCAGTACATCTCCAAGGCTGACAAACGTACAGGCAACTGTTGCTAAGGCAGCAACTGCAGACTTCTTCCCAGTGACACACCAGCTCAAAACAAAACCACTCAGCAAATCACTATTCGCTCTTGATCCAACCATTCAACCATCCCAGCGTGTACTTCCACTAGAAAGTGGCGAGACAGGCATCAGTTTGTATACACACACCATACTCTCAAAACAGCCAAGGTGATGGGACAAAAAAAACCTGTGATGATTTACACAGCTGTGGACATGGCAAACATTCTCATCTACTACAATATTGACTTTCAGTGATTGATTTCAATATGCCAGTCAGGAGTTCACAGCAAAGACACATAAATTTACATAAAAGTGCACACTTTTCACACGCAGGCAAGTTCTTTTACAAAGTATAGTCATAATGACAGAGAAGAGGGAAATTTGTTTTTAAGAAGACTTCAATAGTACTTAGTTTATTTTATATGAAATGAATTCACTTTAAATGTAAACTCCTGTGACAGGACACGAAATCACTAGAATGCCATCCTAAACTTGGATGCGAAATCACTCTCAATTTTAAGGTTAATAATCTCCCTTCCAGGAAAAGGCGGCTAGATTAGCTGTGAGACAATCGAAAACAACCACAAAGAGAAATACTGTCACTGAGGGTAGATAAAATATTGCTAATCACTAGACATGTGGCGCTGAACTTTATAATAAAACTTCTGCTATCAAATCACAATGTAAAAATAAAGAATACTTGATGTCACAAGAACGTAATAGTGATTGTTCACTAATTCATTTTGGAGAGCAGTCCTCCAAGTTTAAACTTAACCCCCAGGTATGTCTGTTGAAATAAGCTGCAATGACATTAATCTGCGCTTCTACTCCATTCATACTACCTTCTAATTGTTGGCTATTGGGGCTCTACATGTAAGTTAACCAGTAAACAGAGGCAATCAATTACAGTCTATTGTCTGATTGGTTAACAGACCCACCCACCTGCAACATCAAGGTACAGTCTACAGCTAGCTTTTCCAGTCTTATTCTCAGCAACGCATTCATACTCGCCGATGTCCTTGTAGGTGACGTCCTTGATCTCTAGCAGACATGTTCCATCCTCCTTGTAGCTGGCCTGCATCTTCTTGTTGTCCACGATGTCCTCATCTCGATACCACTTGACAACGGGAGGAGGCTCACACAAGACTTTGCAGCTCAGGACAGCCGTGGAGTGCTCTAAGACGTACACATCTTCTTGACCTTCCATGAAAAAAGGCTTGATGTCTGCAGTGGAGAAACGACTCATACAATTCAGCCTAGAGTGTTGCATTTGATCTCAGACAGCTCATGTAAACTTCTAGCTAGGCTTTCTTCTTAAATCCTCTTGAATTAACATAAAAAAATCCTTGCAAGTTAAAGACGTTCTTGTAATGAACAGAAAGGAGTGTGGTTAAAACAACCGTATACATGTAGTACTACTCAATATCCACCACATCAATGTTCAATTTAAGAATGTTCATTAAGGAAAGGAAAACTTTTATAGCAAGTCCATGTAAAGCATTACCAACAAAATCTTCAAAGTGTTCTTGCTTCTTTTGACACTTTTTTTTTTAAAGTGAAGAATAAACTGAGAATCAACTGAGATTAATCCGACCATTACAGAAAATGTATGTACATTGTTTTCATTCAAATATTGTATCTTTTTGTGGTACAGCTGCAGTCATCTCTCCTTCCCACCTTTGGCTATGGAGATGGAATTCTGTTTCTTCAGACAACACTTGGAGGGAGACGCTGATGTGTCTTGGATCTTAGATACTGGGGAAGGGAAAAATCACCCAAATGATACATCAATGAAGTTGCAAGAGTCTTTCATGTGAATTTCAACACTGCGATTGAAGAAACTCCAAATGAGTAACTTGTAAATACTTGTTTTGGATGTACTGGTACAGGTGAGTATCTTGTTGATATTGGCAATATTTCAATAATAAGTATACATTTTGGTAACTTCTTTCTGCTGTGATGATGTCACAATTCACACAAAAATTATTCACTGCATGATAAAATGCTAGCAAGACTTTGCTGAATTGCCATTTCAGTCACTGCGTGACTAGATAGCATTACACTTTGGCTTAGTGGAGATGCCACTCCATTTAGATATCCCCACATTGCTGAGAAGTCGCCTAGGAGCTCAGGTGCACAGAGCTTTCCAGATCATGTTTATTATGACTGTCAGTTTGATAATTGATTTGTAATAGCTCGCAGTGAAGTACTGGGATGATGGCAGAGCCAAATCAACAGAAGGATATTCATAGTGTGCAAACATTATTCAAGTGACTCTGAGACCTGTGCACTGCCATCCATTTATTTTTCTTGTTTTCCATGCCAAGTGCCCCTCAGGAATTTGAATTATAAAAAGAAGACGTCCAGAGGGCTTCACCTCATGTGACTATCAAAGTACACAAACAGTGGTGGCTATTTTAAAAGTTATACATATAATGGGGTTTTTAATATATCCAAGAATAAAGTCATCATTTTGCTGAGATTTTATGTTTTTTCTTACCTGAAATTTTCTGTTCTTTTGATAAATAAAACATAAACCGCCAAAACTGTGTACTTTTTTGTGGCAATTCTTTTGTTTGGTGCACACCACGGGGCAAAGTGAACAGAACGGTGCTTGCTCTCTCACTTGGCCGCGTCCAAGCCCAGGGTTTTCCTGTTTGGCCACACCAAACTGTTTGGGTTTCCTGTTTGGGTGCACCAGTTTGAATTCAAATGTTCCAGTGTAACCTCCCCCAAAAAAATTTGTATTGTTTTTGTTTGTCTTTCACTCCCTTACCTTTCTTTTTTACCTTTTTTTTTAATTTGAGTGAGATTTGACAACACAAAAAGCACATCTACAGCACCATCATGGGAACGCATGTGAGCAGCATGAGTGCTGCAGTTGGGCAGCCGCTGGCAGCCAGGCTTAAACCACGGCATGCATGAAGCTTCCTTCAGTGTGGTCACATGGCCACTATAAAGAGTAAATGAATGGACTACAAGCATATGGACCGTGATAGCAAACAGGCTTGCTTGAAAGCCGGGATTCATTTAGGCTACAGGTGGTGGTCCCGACTAGTCGATTACAATGGCAGCAAGCACCCACGTGTCCTTGCGCTAAAAGAGAAAGTGCACTTTGCAGAAATGACTCATAATTAAAGTCTCCCGTTCTTTTTCCACTCAATATCAGTGATTTGGCGGCAGTCTTTTTGGATCAGCCCTTCAAAAACTTTGAGTTAAGTGGATGTAGTGGTGTGGGGATTTCGAATTACGGAAGTAGTTTTGAACATAAAAGGTTGATTCCAGAGTGACTGACGGGACAATTCAATGTAACCTTTTTTTTTTAAACTTGCACCAAAAAATGGGCATGGTTTAGCCAAGAAAGTTACACTGCAAATCAACAAGAACAAGTCACATATCAATTTAAAAACAAAGGCTGAAACCAAACAATTAAATTGCTGTATAGTTGCGAATAGAATCAGCGTGACTGACAGGACAAGAAAACCTGTCACTTTTCAGAAAACGTAGATCCATGCACAAAGCTATCTGTTCTCAACTGAGAGATTTAGTGTAAACTCTTCTCCAAATTAATCACTGGTACATAAACAACCAGTAAGAATTACATTCAATATAATCAAAGTTACAAACTCCCATACTCGGCTCATCACACTTGTGACTGACGGGACCTTTTTTGACACATTTTTCTCAGCAATCTTGAATGCCATTTTTAGGTCTTCAAACTTACGTTTTCTTCTTTTTAACAGAAGAAAACAATGATAAACATTAGTTTCAATATCATTTGAGTCACAAAACTTTCAATGCCTCCTCTCACCTCAAATTCAGTAGAGGTGCTTAAATCATTACACAGATCTGTGTCTTTGTAAGTACAGTATTTCTTGTACACTTTGTTTATTTGGACTTGTACTATGTTGTTTAGACTTGTACATTGAACCATGGACATTGTATGTCTATAATAATACATACATGTGTAGATGCACTGTATAAAACAGGATACAGGATCACCTGTTTTGGGTTGTAAATCTTACATATGTAAGGGTTGTGGAATTATCAAATTCCAACTTTGTGATAAACACCTCTAGAATGAATCAGAGACGGAACATCGGACATTGTTTTCACAATATCCTCTGTTATACATGTACCAAAGAGATTTCATGTCATCCTGTGACATGACGTTGATGTCAGGATGTACATGTACCGATACATCAACATTTTCAACTTCCTCAGACGTGTTGATGTCAAGTTTTGAGGCCAAGACCCTTTCAGAAACCTGGTGCTTAAGAGACCCCCCAAATCCCATTAATACACCCTTTCCTGTGGGAAATTTGTTTGAAAGTCCAGGCCTCGAAATGGTACTAGCCCGGCATACAAATTCTGCAAAAAGTGCTCTAGCAAAAATGCCTCATCGTCACTTTCATCGATCCTGTGAGTCAAAATATAAAAGCTTAGATTTTGAAAGAAAAAAATGAGGTATCTCCAATTTAACAAAAAGTTGACTTCTGACCATATTTCAATCGAATTCGAGGATTTTTGTAGCTGAAATCTTTCTGAATAGTTTTCGCGATCCGAAACTAGGAAAATGACTGTACCAAACCTATATGAGCAAGAGACAGAAGGAGTTTTGTCTTCTGAGGGGGAAGCACTGTTGACGTATACTTCTTGCATGACTGTATTTGTAACTTTCAAACCCAGTCGGCCTAAATGACTTTTGTGTGGAAGTGTTAGTGCTTACTATTTGTCAAATAAAACAAAATAAATGGAAATTACTTATACTATCAGCCTTTTGTTTTCCAAAATGTCAAATTCTTCATTGGTAAGCTGATAACAAATTTTGGGATTTTCTTATTTTTTATATACAGGCTAGTAAAACTCTAAACAGGCCAGTAAAATATGCAGTTAACAGTGGGCCAGCCAGGTAAAAAAGTTAGCACAAGGCCTGAAGTTGTAAAATTTAAGTATTTATGTCATATAAATGTACTTGTACATGTATTAGATTGTTTAAATTGATGTCATTGTGCATACGGTATACAGTAATCATACATGTATCTGCCTCAAATTTGGAACAAAAGTGAAAATGACAGAGTGGAAATGTATGTGACTGACGGGATAGAATGTGACAGACGGGACAGAATGTGACTGACGGGACAAATTTTGAGAACATTTTCTTAGTTAAATATCTGTGAACTTTTTTTCTCAGGTTTCTGTAAGAGACTTACTGACTACAAGATAGATTAAACTTAAAATGAAATATAAGTGTAGTAAATAATCAACTTTCTTATGTTTTTTTTGACTGACGGGACATGTCAACACCCAGATTTGAAAGCTGTAATATACCCTCAGAATGTTTTTACTTGGGTGTTATTTATATCCTGGACTACAGTGAAGGTATCAAAGTTGACAATGAACTATTCATAAATTTCTTTGGCGCTTCTGCACTATATCAATTGGGATCAAGATTTTTCTACAAATTTTGCATTCCCACCCGCCCCCAGTTTCCCAAACTTCACACTGCCATAAAAGTAAATTGAATTACATTTAGCACTAAGCAAATGTGGTTTCTGACATCTTAGATGTTTATTTTAAGGCCAAAAAACAACTGGAAGCATTGAAGAAACTTTAACAATGCATACAAGTGCAACATTTCTACGGAATCACCCAATAGCCTATTCTTTTGGCGGGAATGAAGAATGTCTTTGAGATAAGCGGAGTTTCCAGTTAACCGACTTTCAGTTATTGTTTACTGTACCAGTGTCATGTCAAGTAGTCACCATGCAGAGTTGCAAAAGTTTTGACACATTTTGCCGGTATCTTTTTACTATCAAACTGTACAATTGCACATTTGTTGAGAGTGGCACAGTCTTTAATCCTTTAACCAAATATATCACAAACCAATGCCAAGTCATCCCTCCTCAAACTATCTCAAGTCCATTTATTACAGGTCAGCATCATTTGAAGCAAATATTGGCTTGCTATGGGTAAGAAAATGAAGCACTGTCCCTAAAACGTCTTGCTGATTTTTCTCCTTGAAGCTTGAAATTAGTGCAATGAATTATTGACTTGTGATTTGACTTTTAACGTAAATACATGCGAACAAATGATCCTCAAATTTCTTAATAGTCGAGAACCCATCACCTACATGTAAGGGATTTCAGACATTTACCCTCCCCCAAAACCATAGCCAATCTGCAAAAAAATGCAGGATTTCTGTGATCAAAACGTCAAATACAAGCCAATTACAAATCTCTCCAAATGCTTTATGAATACAGAAACAACAGGCATAGTTTATTGACAGAACGTTCAGCCAAATGGTGATGAAATGATCAGGAAATACATGTAGATGTGGCACTAAGACCCCATCCTAAGTGAATGGGAGCATTGAAATAACATTGATGGAGTTTTACAAATAAATATATATAAATCTCCCTGACAATTTAGAAGGAATTTCAATGTTAAATTTAATGGAGGTCACAGTGTAAAATCATTCATGAATGACACAGCCTGACAAACATTTTTGTCCAGAGTGCTCTGTTTGACAATTTCCTTCGTCATACACTTTTGGAAGGAGTTGTTACCTGTCCCTTCCTTTCAGCTGTCCTGAGTGTTAACTTGTAATTGCTCTTTCACATACACATATTGTCTAGATTTCTGAATTTTGCCTGTCCCTGTTGTTCTAGGCAAACCCTCCCAAGAAAACCAGTCCCAGCTCTGCTTCAGATTCATAATTTTATATCTGATGACCAAATTTGTAGCTTTCAGTATTTCACCAAAAAAAAGGGTTTCCGTTAGCCCACCCCCATGAAAACCTTGACAGAATGGAATTTTAATTTGGTCGACTATGGAGCATGAGCGTCACTTGGATATTTTCCAGGGTAGGCTCCAAGCACTCATCAGCATCAAACTTAAAAAAAACAAAAAAAACTGCAGTGTGTTGCCTGTGGAAGGGGTCCACTCCAAAGTATTCTGAAGCAAATGGACAATTTTCTCCCCCCTCCTCCTTGTTCAATTTCTCGTGATTTTTCTTATTTACATCCCTCTTCTTTCATTTACCAACATTTTCCAGGGAGGCAAGGGCCCTCCCTTACCCCCCTCCTGATGCTCATCCTATGCACGAATCCAGGCACATCAGGCAACTCCTCAGAAATCACGGCATATTTGAATTCGATAAAGAGCATACTCACATAAATCCATCAGACAGACAACATCAGACTCCTCAGAAGGTTCACTAATCCCATTCTCTCCCTCGGCTCGGACCCTGAAGACATACGTCCCCTCTGCATTAACGCTGGACACCCAGTAGGATGCATCTGTGACATCAGTGGCTATCAACACCCAGTCCTCCTCATTAGCATCCTTGCCTTCAATGATGTACATGACAGTAGAATCTGAGTCATTGTTAGGTACAGGCTCCCACGTCAATAGGATGGATTCACCAGCGATTTTGGAGACGTTGGGTTTGCCAACAGGACGACAGGGAACGTCTAGGAGCAAGTATCAAAATCGCAAATCAGGATTATGAAGCAGGACTTTTCACATATGTATGCATACTCAAAAGAAAAATAAACCAATACTCATGACTCAAATCTGGAGACCAGCTCTGAATTAGAACTACAGAATTACCCAACTATAATAATGCTGGAAAACAATATATTCCTACACTGTGTTGGTGATGACCGTTTGCAAAGTGTGTTGCAAATCTACATCTTCAATCAATATCCTACACAGTACAAGTGAATGTGACAGTATCTTTTGTCTAAGATGACTTTGAAATCTCAGTGACTTTGAATTCAGCCACTGAATCAGAACCTGGAACTAAAACAGAGACAGAGACGAAGACATAGGGGCTTACTGTTGCGATGCTAAGATTTAAGACCGCGAGGACAAGGAGGACATGAAAACAAACGATTTCTTTTTACCGGTACTTCCTGAACTGCTGCATCGATAGTCATCACTTATATCCTGACCACGATAACCACTGTCTGGCTCTTGATCATCATCAGAGACTGCAAAGTAAGCAAGACATCATCAAACTTTATTTTGAGAAGTCAACTTGGAGTATTTCTCTTTCCAAATAGTGCCAAGTACGTGTATATGCTACAGTTGTTCAAGTCAAACAACCCTCAGGTGAGGCAGGCAGCAAAAGGGGTACTTCACAACCCCCTGCTTTTGGAAAGCTGTCCATTTTGCTCCCCCCCCCCCGCTTTGAGATTGCCTACTTTAGAAATGTACTAAATGCAAACAATACCACCTCGTTTGGACCGCCTTGGCCAAGGTGATCGCATATATTCCTACGGGCAGCTTCAACCACGTGCAAGCGCACGTGCGAATGCTGCATGCTTGAATAGGTAGATTACCATCACAAAACCATGCACTCATTACCATCACAACACATCATAGGTCCAGCACGATCATGACATCACAGAAAAAAGGTCCACACATTGGACAAGGCAAAAATTCCTAAATCAACTGCTACATATAAAAAAGATTAAATTAATGCACCAATCCTACTAGAATCTCCCTCCAAGGTTGAGAGGATTCTGCTAGGCTCTGTATATTACAAACTTCTCCTCATACACATGTAGTGAAGAGAAATATCCACCTTTAGCTAGATGTGTTTGGAAATGACCATTTTAGTAGGCTGCATTACTTACTTCTTTCTGTTACTTCCAAGTTGGATATACTTTGAGCAACACCCAGTGAACTTCTTGCCGTGCACGTATATTCCCCTACATCCTTGGGTGTTACATGCGGAATGATCAGCATACAACTCCCATCATCCCCGTGTTCCAGAATGTAGTGATCATTCTCTGCTATCTGCAACTGATTAAAGAGCCACACCACTTCCGGTTCGGGGGAGCCAGTCACCTTACAGTTGAATGTTGCTGGACCACCCTCCACGGCTTTGCAGTCTTTGGTGTGGCTAATGAACGACGGACGGAAGAAGTTAGCTGCGTGGGGTCCGATGGCAGGGGAGGGAATTATGGATTGTTGTTCCTCTACAAACAACTCTGCGCTCCACTGCGTCTCCCCAACCGAGTTGAAAGCTTTGCATGTATATTCCCCTTCATCTTCCGGAAATGCTTCGACGATGTGTAACACGTACAGGTTGTGCTTGCGGAAGAATAAAAAATCTGGAGACTGCTTGAGTTCCCGATTGTTGAACAGCCAGACAACTTTGGGCTTCGGGTTACCGCGTATTCGACACTCAAACTTGACTTCTGTACCTTCAGACACTGTCCTATCGTGGAAGACTTCAGTAAATTCTGGTGGCTTGGGGACCAGTTTCTTGGACTTGATCTTCTTGACTTTCAGGTTAGCACTGCAGGTCAAGCGACCTCCTAGCCCATTGTAGATCTGACAGGTGTACTGGCCACTGTCTTCTGGATATGCAGCAGCGATGATCATAAATGTTGTCCGCCCGTCAAATGTCATCTTTACGTCCTGACATGGAAACAGCTGCTCATCATCCTGGTACCAAGTGACCTCGGGGACTGGGTGACCCACAATCTGACAGCGAAACAAAGCCTCCTCGCCTTCCGTGACAATCAAGTCTTCAATGCGATTCAGGAAGCGAGCTGGGACTGGGTCCCATGGCTTGGGCTTTCTCTCTGTGGATAAAAAAGAGGAAGGGCCTATAGAGAATACAGGGGGTTGTAGAAAACAGCCATGAAAAGACAAGGTCTATTCATCTACTTGCCATTGTCAAAGAAATTAAAAATGTATCAAGCAAGGTAAAGTTTGACGAGTGACAATCACACAAGGTTAGGTTATGGCAGTGGGTCACTTCTGGCCTGCAGCATCTCACGCTCAGGTTCCAACCCAACCCAGCCAAAGAACTTCAATGCACTCTATCCCATCCTTGAACTATCATCACACTCTTTATTAATAAGTGTCTGATCATCACCCTACTGGGCTATTGTGACAAATCTCCTGATTGATTTCATTGCAAAAGTGGACTTGCAAACACTGTAGTATGACTTAATTTTTCACTGCGACAGAAAAATATCGATTACAGATTGACAAGAGCCTGTTACTTCTACAACCCAAGATCATGGCTGTACTAGGCTGTCAAACCAAATGATTGACAGCGGTCTCCAAATGACAAACATTTTGTTCTGAGTCAAAAAAGATAATACTAGGTACAATTTCCATTACGCCTTCTCAGAACATGAATGATAAGACCACAAAAATGCAAACGTGCAACAAAGAATAGCAGAACAAGACAGTATAGAATTTCATTAATGTTAGTATTTACGTTGACTACCAAAATATGTTGCTATTTATAAGATGGAATGATACCAAAATACTTTGAATATGAGTAACAAGGCCAATCACATGCTCAAGTGTTTAAAAGCTCAGTGACAGATGTGCAGATGACCATCAATAATTCAATCTGTCCTATTTCCTTGGAATGGTAATTTCCCAGAAATAGTTGGAGCCTTAAATATGAGGCCAACCGAGTTACAATGTGGCCTTAAAAACAAAGTATATTATGTCACTTGATAGGATGTGTTCTGGTTAAGTGGGATTTCTATTTTCGGGTATTAATGTTTAATGAAAAGAACAGATTATGGATGGTAAAGCAGGTGTATAACGATTTAAACACGTAGATCAGAGGTCACATTTGTTATCTTTGTATTGTACCTGTGGCCTTTCAAATTCAGACAAACTGATGCCAACATACAGAAATTATTTTCTAGTGTTTTCAACAAGTTGTCAAGGTTTGGGGGAAAGGGTACCTTTTAAACAACATAGGCCTTCGTATGACGGCTGTTCTTTTTACTTCCTAAATCCCCTGACAAGCCAAGTTGAAGTTCAGCCCAAAGTCCTTGGGTATTTATGTGAGGTGTTTCTCAGAATCCAGTGTACATGTACATAACATTATTACACAAGTATACCCTTGATTTCCAAGCCCCTTGTGTCTGTTGAGAAAAGCCTCAAAGCTCTGCCTTTCCAATCTCGCAAAATCCCCTAAAATCCAGAGGCTTTGAAGGATCTAGAACGGTATGAGCTAATGGTTGGGGACAAAAACAAAATTCCTTCATGTCCTTCATTTCTCTTGAAGGCCAGAGTTTGTGGCAGACCCTTCCAAATCTGCCCAATCCAAGACCTACAGTGCTCCAAGCTGATAAATAGGGCAAAGGATTGTTGACAAGAAACTTCCTCTTTGAATGTTCAATTTCAGCGGAAGAAACAATGCTCCAAATTGATAACTGGGAAAGGATCTGATAACTAGAAACTTTCTTTGTTTCAGTTTTCAATTTTAGTGGAAGGTTTTTTTTTTTATTGTACATGTATTTTATTTTTCCACAGCTGGACAGAGTCACACACAATATCATTCCATATTTTAAATCCCCTGCAGATATCCACAAAGCCAGCCAGGTATACATTCATCAAACCAATTATCTTAAAAAATTCATGACGGATCTCTTACTCTGACGTGTTGATATAGCACAGTTGTAGCACGCCTTCAGCACCTGTTCACTTAATCAAGGCAATGCACGCAGTGCATGGATGTCACAGACAAGCTGAATATTGAAGAGGCCGCAGTGGATAGACCTACACTGTACACACCCGACATCAAGCCCTTTAGTAGATATATATGTCAACATTATCAGACTACTCTTAAGGTTTATTTTACCTGTCTGGAGTCATGTAGTGATTTTTTAACAGCAATCACAACTGAACAAAACTTATTAACCCTCTGAGGTACGGTGTGTGAAAACTATATATTGTGCTGAGAAGATTCACATCTATTAGAAAAACTATAAGGCTGAAAAGAGTTTCACATACTTGTAATATAAATATTTACATGCAATTTCTGGCATGGGAGATCTTAAATATTACAGAAATAAGTTTCAGAGGTCATCATTTGACACTTGCTTACTGCACAGATACAAAAATAATCAAATCAAGATTTCAAGCAGACAGGATTTTCTTCCTTTTTTTAAACCCAAATTAGCGAAAATTATTTGAATATATGTGTCTCCAATGTTACTGTGATTTCTATCATCACAAATGTATGCAAGATTCTTTTCTGGGCCCAAGATCATCGGCCATTTCACAGGAAACTCTCTCTATATACTACGAATTGAAGGATCAAGCCCGACTCCAGTCTTGTGTCTCTTTCATTCCATCCTGTCACCATCAAAATGTTTACCAAGCTGCAAGATCCAAATCAACTCCTGTAGAGAGTCCAGGAACCTTTAAAGAGTTGAAGCTCAAAAGGTCAAGTTATCGTCTGGCATCTTCTACCACGCAACCCTGGCCAAGACGGCAGAGCTTGAAGCCAATCCAGGCCAGCTCAGCTGTATTACATTACACCAGTGATGTCACTGGTATCACTCTGACCAAATACCAATGAATGTGATGTCAATATTTATCATCTGCCTTAATACTGACTAAAAGAGAAAAGTCCTTGGTATAACTTCATGGTCAATGACCATAGTAGAAGACCTGCTTCAGAAGGAAATTGTACGTGGGGGGAGCCCAGTGGGAAAAGGAGGAGGTAGGGATAAGAGAATGTACAGACAGTGCCTACGACAGATGCAAATATGGCCTGAGTAGGGTAGGCAGTGCACAACAGGAGAAACTAACTGGCCTAGCCTATGAAGGGACTTATCTCATTTGTGTATGGCAATCAGTGAACGCTGGCTTTCATTTTAAAGGCCACTCAGTGAGCCCAAACAGGTGTATTTGTACATCATCCTTCCATCACTCTCTCACCCTGTCATTACATTGTTTCCTTTGTCCCTTTGGTCTTTTTATCATTTAGAGTCAAAGCATGAGAGCTAAGATGTTTAGAAGGTTTGCATGGTGCACACATACCGGTAGATCTAAGGAAGGTTTGAGTTTTAATAAGTGAGGCTCTGAAGAAAATCAGCAAACTCAACATTTCAGACAGAATACACATATAGAATGGTTTGAGGGTGGACACATCAAGCCATATTAAGCCATGTTATATTTGGTTTACCTTACCTCAGACATACAGTAAAATCTCAATAAGTCAAAGCTCAGGGGAATGGTTGAAAAGTTTGAGTTATCGAAAGTTACATGCTTCAGTGCACATGCAACCCTACTGGCTTACGGCGGTTGGCCTGCAAGCTGAGTTGAACACGAAGTGGATTTTAGGCTATCCCTACTGAGCAAGTTTTCCTCAAACATCGTCATTAAGCATGTTTTTATGTGGTACATTAATAAATAATAAACCAATGAAGTTATGTACCGGTACCTGTGTCTACATCTTGAGAATTCATTCATTTGCTTTGCTTGATCGGGCTGTTACCAATCTTAGCGCGCAGGCCAGTTGGTCAGGGTTTCCGTGCTGGGTACATACATGTACAAAAGGCTTGAGGGCGCATCATTCGTGCCTGATTTAGGCTGCATCCGAATCTCTTGTCTAGAGCTAGGTCTAGATCTTCACTCCATTGGAAATGCATGGAGACGCGTAGACAATAGACCTAGCCGTAGCTCTGGAAGCCTGTTTTGGACATGGCCTTATTTTACGGTTGTGGTTGATGCCCACCCAGTGCTTGTCGACGTGACAATGGCTTATTCTTTTGTCAGGAATACAGAAAGACGTCGAGGTAAACGGAGTTTCGACTTAACGGGCTTCGACTTATTGAGATTTTACTGTATCAGTTGTCATTAAAATATCCGAAGCAAAGCAAAGGAAGCATGTACATGAGCTGTCGTTTGTTGATGTGTAATGTGCTAATAGTGAGGTTTGGGCTGTGCTAACACAATGTAACAGTTCCAGGAACTGTTCCCAGGATTCACTCCCAGGAACTGTTCCCAGGATACACTCCCTGGAACTGTTCCCAGGATACACTCCCAGGAACTGTTCCCAGGATACAGTTCCAGGAACTGTTCCCAGGATACAGTTCCAGGAACTGTTCCCAGGATACAGTTCCAGGAACTGTTCCCAGGATACAGTTCCAGGAACTGTTCTCGGGATACAGTTCCACACTCGCATAAAATCCCAAACTTATCCACCTTTTACATCTGGGGTTGGGGATAGAACATTCAGGTTTTTGATTACAGCTAAGATCTGATAATGGTATCTCATGTGTATAGTCCCCACCTTTCATGATGAGCTGTGTGGTGTTAGACGTGGTGGAATCTTCACAACTCGCCACACATGAGTATTCTCCCTCATCGTCTGAGATGATATCACTTATTTCCAGTGAGTGGACGCCGCTGTCATCATGCCTCACCTTGTAACGCTGGGACAACTCAGGAATAATCTCTTCATCTTCTTTCAACCTTTTAACAAAAAAAAACAAACCAAACTCAACCTTTCAACAAAAAAAAACAAACCAAAATCATTCAGGAATGAGAGCTGATAACAAAAGAACAATATGTCTCCTCATTAAGGGGAGATTCAGTTCAATAATCCGTTTTTTACAGTTCAAGAGTTATGACATTATGCAATGACCATCCATCAGATGAACACCTGGAATTTCCCAGTGTCATGACAACTGGTAACAAGTTCAATGACATTTTTTACAGGAAATATTTCCACATCAGTCACTATGTTTCTCCTTTCTGTATGAAAAATACACGGAGCTATCTCGCAGAAAAAATCCACAATTTAAAAAACATACTGGTAATGTGAGCAGTTTTTATAAATTGTTCCGAAGATAAGTCGATGACTTCCATCGCATTGGGCTAATCAGAGTTTAAGATGAGAGAGATTTCTCACTTCAGTGATAAAAGGACATCAGCCCTTCAGCATCAGTGACAACAAGATCAAGTCTCAGGTATGAATCTCATACTCAAGTCAGACACGTCCATGTGTCCATTTTCCTGTGGTTGAGTATCAATTCCCACAGAAGTTGGCTGTGTTCTGGCTTGATACCTTATCACCTCTCTCATAGTCCTGCATGCATCTCAAGAATTTGTGGTTTCCAGACAGGAAATGTTCTGATAATCTCCTGAACCATGACCAACATGTTTAATTCCACCAGATGAGTGACTGATATATTTTTTTTTTACACTTGGATACAGAATACCTCAGCACGCACATCGGCTGGGGCAACATTCCAATTTGATATCAGTCACTGCCAACCTTTATACACCTTGCGTGCTGTCTAACACGTAAACCTAACATTAATGGGTGTTTCAAGACTGGCTTCAATCACAATGCAAGTCATATCACATGATCAAGGAAATCATAAGACACAGTAACAGTCTAAGACTGACTGCATTTTTAGATTACGTACAATACAACGTTATCAATCCGGATTAATCTGTTTAGGTGAACTTGTAAGACACTTGGGTTTTCTTATGTACATGTTGCTTTGAACTCTGACGCATCAACCAGCAACCAACCAAATAAAATACAACTAAGTGAGAACATTTTTGCACTCTTTTTTTGTACAATTTGCATCACTGGCAAAAACCTGTCAGAGAAAGCAAGCTAGTTTTTTGTGTAAAGCTTATTACCCCCATGTTAGTTTTGCTTTCAAAAAGAAAGCCTTTGATTCTCCAGCAACAATGAACTAAATGAGTTGGAAGCAAACTGTCCAGAAAAGAAAACCTGCTGGTTCATTAAAAAAAGGTAATTGTCACTTAAAGGGAAGATATTCTGGTAATGTATAATGCATCTTTTGTGATTAGTTCTGTTTAAAGACCTCATCGCAAAAAAAAATATTGCTTTCAAAAGCAATCCATTGAGAGACTATAACTACATCTATATTTTTGAAATAGTTGCTGGGAAAAAAAGGTTTTGTAAATGAAATTATTTTCTTCTAAAATACAGATTCCATTTATTTAAAACAATATCTGATGATGCATATTTACTGAGATGGAAATCCAATGTTTATATTTCTGTTTCTGCTCTCTAGTTTATGTATTTCTGGGAAATCAGGAAAAAAATAATTTCAAATGTTCCAAAGAGCTTCTGATCATCGGTTTATGTACCGGTACCCACCTTGCACGATACCGTAATATTCCTTGGTCACATTGTAAGTTGTACAGCCACAAGCATTATATATATATCCTGCCCGGCAAGAAATGTCATCATTCTTCCATAAGTAAAATAAATGAATGCTCCCAAAAGCTAATGAAAGTGCAACTCTCCTACGATCACATGTCAAAAGGTGCCAAAGCGCTGTCACTCGTTCACACCATTAATCCTTCGTCAAGGCAGTATCCTTCCATCTTGCCGGTCTGAGCCATCCCAGAGAAACCTACGGACTGGTATCTATGCATGTTGCAGTGCACGCACATCTACAAAGCACAGACTAAATGCATGCCCATTCCAGATGTCATCTTTATCAGCGCTGTGTCTCCACTACATGTACATTCCAGCCTTGGTACAGCTCCCGCGCAACATGCCTCACATTTCACACTCTCGCTAGTCTACGGGCTGAGGATTTTGATGTCTCCCCTGCCGTTCTAGCTAATCACTGACCAGCTTATGCATGCCCTGGTTGCTGAAGGAGATGTACGGATATCAGCACTGGACATGTCACAAAGCCTGGGGACGAGATTTGATCTGACTTGGATGGCCCATGGCCCTACCTTGGGAGTCAATCCTAGATATATGAAAAAAAAATCTGCCCAGTCACACCGCCGTGTAATACAAGCAGGAACATGTACAACAACAGTAAATGATGACACCATGTGTTAGATGCTTACATGATGTATATGTACGGTATTTAGACCGGGTATTCTCATTTCATTGACTCCTAACTCAATGCAGACATGTGGGACAAGTACTGCAGGACTCGGCAAGACACATGATAGATATCTTGACCCAATTGTAAATTTGTAGCGCAGTGTTGTACAATTAGATAAAAATGCGATAAAAGTAGCTCTCACTTCAGGAAACACTGTAACTCAACACATCAACTTTAAGGATACAAACAAAATTATTCATTTCACAAAGTAAACCTTGAAAAAAATTAAGTTTACTATGACTTGTTACCACTAAGGCACCGATAGGAGCAAAAAAGTTTGAGTCATTTGTACCAAATTTTAATATTCTTCAGTTCTGACAGTCCACATCATATGTTTACTTATTTGAACCTAAAATTGGGTGACCAAAAACATCCCCATCTCTCTATAATCCTTCCACTGACACATGTCGATCAGTAGAAAAGTTCTTGACGTTCCATGGATTAAAATGTAAACATTGTCACTAGCACAATACCACTTGACTACTGAGTTTGAAAGAACTGCCCGGGTGGTTCAAGTCCAAACCAGTGTGATAACCAATGAGAATATCAGAGCGTTTTACGCTGGAGAATTTTTGCACATCATGTATCAAGGTTAATAACTATTTCACAAACACGGATTAAGATCGTACTTCATATTCCGTGCAATTTCTAAAGAAAATCAAATCACCACAATGGCCACAAGTATGGGTAAGACAATGCGTTAGAATTTTGCTTCTTGACAGTCTGTGGCATGGTTTCTTTGTTGACAGTACATGCATCAATCCAACAGGGTCATGGTTTGCTGACATGAAACAGCAGGTCCCATCAGGAAAACTCGCTGACCATCATTCATAGCTGCTGCCTGCCTACTCCAATTTGTCGTTCATCACTCCTGACCGCAATAACATCTGCCTCAGTGTCAAGAGGGCCAGGAGAGCTTGATAAGCTCAGTACTAATATTCCATTCACTTGATAATCAAAGCTACTTGCCTAGCCAGACAGCAGAGCACTATGCCGTGGAATGTCAATGGCAAAAGATTTCCGTAGCAAAATGGGTCTTGTGTTTGAGTAGCATTTAATCCAATGGGAGGGAAACTTTGAAGAGGACTGGTTGGCGTGATATGTCAGGACCATGTCACACTGAGGCAGCCCATTACTGGCTGCTTCAAAGATCCACAGATAGATAAGAAAATGGGTTATCATTCAAGGTGTTGCCCTCAAGGATGTTTAGAAGATCAAATAGGTTATTTCTCTGCAGGAGACAGTTCCAGCCAAAAGTCTGATGAATTCAGAATGTCCCAGTTGTTTGAAATACACCTTTTTTCAAGAATGGAGAGATTGCTTCTGATATTACTGACCCTGAAAGACTTTTGAATAATCACCATGGATCTCCATCACCTTGTTTTGCTACTTCCTTAAACATCCATCTTTTGACCTGAGAAATGTTTAGATCAACGTGTTTATTCTTATACATGTACGTACCATTTGACTTTGACATTTGCCTTGGATGGATCCAAGAAACACTCCAGCAAGGCTGTGTCTCCTGGCTTAAGCCGGATTCTCTTCTTTAACATCTTGGCCATCATTCCTGACCTCCGTCCTTGCCCCTTGTTGTTGCCTAACCTTGCCGCCGCCTCCGTCTCTGGGTCTACGTCAGCAGATGAATCTTCATCTTCACTGCTACCATCTGCCTGTTGAAGGTCATTACCAAAGCACAGACCATTCAGTTCATCACTGTCTGTGAAGAATTCTTTGACCGTTAATCTTGCCTGTGAACATCTCACCCAGGAACTGTTGGATGCTTGGGCTGTGTAGATACCAGTGTCTTCAGGATATGCCGGGCTGATCTGCAGGCTGTATCTGTATGAAAATCAGGGCAAAAAAAAGTTTTTAAAAGAAATTTACGATAAAACAATACGGTAATGTGAGGCCTCTGTATGAGTCATACAGATGGCCAAAAGAGACAGATCCTAAACAAGAACCATCCAACACTACTAACCCATTGGTCCAACATTTTCCTTTATCAGGTAATGTAATAATGGCATATTATCCTGATATACTGCTCCGTAATAATAAGATGTGAATAAATCATTAACATTTTACAATATACCGGGAACTTTCTCATGGAGACTTACACATTCATATCAAGTTACTATTTACAGATTTACATTACAGGCTGCAAAAATTAAATTTAACATTCATTACATGTACATGTATGTAAATACATGTACGTACAAGAATTCTTGATAATGTTTCCACTAAAAACATTGATTTTTCATTGAGAGAATGCTACTTGAAAAACAATTCTACAGACATTATTTGATATCTGTTGTAGATTGGCTCTTCAGCTTGCTTCAAGAACTTAATTATTGAACATGCAAAGGAGGAATTCCATAAATGTGTTGTTTTACAACTGAAGAAACACAACATTGTTGCACCCTTTAATCCTGGCTCTCTGTCGGATATTTTGCCCAAATGCCGAGGCACGTGTTCGGCATAAAGGCTCAGCGGACGCTGCTATTTCTAGACCATCATTTTGTCAGAATCACTGCTGGATTTTATTGGCAACCAACTGATTAAATAACACTCTGCCCATGACTGAACAGATGCTCATGGAAGCATTCCATTCCAGCATCGAACACATCCCAATTCAGAGAAGAAAAAAAAATCTGTTAAAGAGCCGTCCATAGATAAATATGTACACATGAAGGTGGGGGGGCAGAAGGTTGACAACACTTACATGCACATAGGCCTACACCATTTGTACGGCACACCAGGGATAAGCAGTTTCTAAACAAGGATATGTGTACACACTACGAGCATAAATCATGCCTTTTGATAAATTGTCATGAAATCAATGTACATGTATAAACATGTACTCTCTCATTTTAGAAATGGGTAATTCCAGAAATAAGGGGACCAAAAGGGTGTCATTTTTGTGTCCTCGTTACATCTAACCTCTGTTATTTGACATGATTGATTTGATTTCAAACTATTACTACACTTTGTGTGGCAGGTAATTTGCATCAATTTATCACTCTTGGAAATTACATGTAGAAAATGTGTTTTGAACTTACAAAATCAAATGTCAGATGTGACAGGGACATGAAAAAAAGGAGCCCTAATTTCTGGAATGACCCAAATGCATATGAGGAGCAGCTTTACACATTTGGGACCATTACAACACTAGCTGGCAAAGGTGTTTATAAAGTTTCCATTAATGGTACTAGGTACACATGGAGTCTGAGAAGTCAACACAGCAACAGGCCTATGGAATGGGCTTGTGTACCCCCTTTCTAAGCCTGGATCTTAGAACGGAACCGTTCGTTATGCTAGAAGTGTACCTAGTACCATTAATGGCAATATTATAAACACCTTTGCCAACTAGTGTTGTAATGGTCCCAAATGTGTAAAGCTGCTCCTCATATGCATTTGAGTCATTCCAGAAATGAGCTACACATGGAGTCTGAGAAGTCAACACAGCAACAGGCCTATGGAATGGGGCGTGTGTAACCCCTTTCTATGCCTGGATCTTAGAACAAAAACGTTCCTTATGCTAGCAGTGTGAGGGGATTAAGGTGCTAAAAAGCCAGTCTTTTGTGCATTTGTACTGTTGTATTATTTTCATATTGACTGTACTGACTGTACGTGTGCATAGTGTTACCACATTGAGCTATTACACTATGAATGTTAATGAACAGAAAAACAATTTTTGAAACTTTCAAACTAAATGTACATGCACATGTACCAGTATATGACAATTTACTAATCATCCTTGAAGTTCATCATGGCATGTTCACATACTCCCTCACTGTAGTTGTGGGAGCATACACTCAACATGTCACCTATTTTGTGGGGACTGAAAACGTTGTGGGGAATCAGAAATGTCCCCACAACTCGGTTTAAATTTCCCTAACAAAAGAACTTGTCCCCTGAAAGCGGTGAATGCCTACCCAATGTACCACACAAGAGCTTTTTGCAATGAATTATATGACATACAACATGAACAGGGTTTGTATATTTTAGCCTTGTAGGAAAACACTAAGCCAATGATTCTTAGACAAACCCAAGTTATCCAACATATCAATAACAGAATGACAAAACCCAATTCTGAAAGGTGTACACCAAGTAGGTAAGATTCAAACCTGGGACATGAAAATGACCACCGATTCCACTAAACTGATGTAAAGTAATGATACACACAGACGTACAGACCTGAAGAATGCACTTTTTTTTCACAATGGCAACTAATGCTGTGGTCCACCAGGTGATACATGCAACCATTTTTCAGACAAAACAGCAAATAATTCACGGGATAACAATCAGCTCAATATTTGACATAAAAGTAAGACTGGACCTGTGGCTACACGTGCATGTGAAGAATTGATGCCATCCATGAAATTAAATGCGACATGACTGAGATGAGACTGACAAAAATAACAGCTTAGATTATGAAGTGTGTGAAATGAAACACGTGGGTAACTGAGACACATCCAAGCCTGTGTCATGCTGATTCCAAGACAAACCAACACTGGATCCATGCCGTTCATGTAACTAAGAAAACAGTTTGGGAGAAGTCAAACATTTAGGTTGATATGATCTCTGGCCGGTGTAATATCTAGGGTTGGGCTTGGAATTCAGGTGCTAAGTGATGAAGATACATTTTCCATCCAATGAAAAATGCAGACATATTGTACATCACACACTACGTTGTCTCTTTTGTTGGCAAGCAATTTGTTTCATGTTTACATACATTCAATGTCAAAGAAACAAACATGTCTTCAAAGAAGCTTGATCAACAATTTCAAAAACTTGACAGCTGGCATTATTTTGAAGTTCCAGAAATTAGTCATACAAAGAAATTGATAATTATTTGATAGCTCCCTATAGCTTTGACAAACACGGTGTCAACCTTGCAAGAACAGATTTACTGTTTGTGAAAGGATACTCTTCATCATCTGGCTAGTCACTGGTTCCCCAAGCTCTGCTCACCGGTCAGGGATTCTCGCAGCATCCTTCACCCATTGTCCATCTCAATTTGTTCCACTCCACTCCAACATCACAGAACCAACCCCAACCATTCAATGTGTGCTAACCATCTGCGACTCCCCACTGATTTACCATCCAAATCTGTTTCCCATCAATAGTCCGAGATGCGTTGTTTGTTCAGCGTGTGTACCAAGTTCCGTGAAATCTCCTATGGTCAACCCACAAGCATGTAATGTGTAAATTATGAGTTGTGCGATTACAACATTGCAGGAATTCCAGTCACGGCAAAACAAAATAGCACGCCACACTTTCTATGCTCCAATTTTCTGAAAATGATAGTCGTCAGGTTTCCAAATTGGGCAAAATGTCACCTTTTCTCGGGAAGCTCCGGATAACTTGGTGACGGCAAAACTTGATATGCCTTGCACATATGTACAGCTACAAGAATTCTATTCAAAATTAAAGTTTGACCAATAACAATTTCAAATTGTGTAAGGGTATGAAAACTGACAACTCTAATTTTGGCAAAACTGATCAGATTTCAGCAAGGGAATTGGATTTTACAATGCTCACTGGTAGACACATGTTTGCTACCTGGCCATAGTGTACAGAGTGAAGTCTGCCAATATCTTTGCTTTTAAGCACTTAATAAAGTTTGCAGGATGAAATTAATTTCCCCCCCCCCCGCTGTGACTGATGAAATTTGCAGGAGTGGAAGGAGTAATTAGTGAAACCAGAAAAGGGCAAAAGGTCTTGCCGAAGAAAATGCCAAAAGCATTACACCAGAGAAGAAACACCAGGTTTGTAAAAACAAACAGCAAAATGGTTACCAAATGAGCTTGAGAGAAGCTAAACCGGACAGTTTAACACCGGGGGATGTTGGTGCTACCATCCTACATGGTGCTACTAAAAATATAATGTAAGCAGAAATGTCAAACAAACAACAGCCAGAGTAGGAATGCCCTGAAAACACCAATTATTTCCCTTTTTAGAAGGGGTCTGGTTTTCAATCAATAAGAGCACTGACCAGAAGAAGAAAGTGAAGGGTGAACTTGAGGACAATCTCAAGATTGAGAGACCACCCCATCTGAGCAAGGAAACCAGCTATTCAAATTGCCTGGAACTAACATGCCATAGGCTTGGTACAAGGGTAAGTTCATCTGGTAAATCAATGAATTGACAACCCAGAGGCTGGGTTAGATTCATGCTGGGGTGTGTCCTGACTAACACTTTCACTGTTTTGCCAGCTGCAATTCTAAACTGAACATTCTGAACCTGTGGAACTATTTTTTGAGACAAATGACTTTTGCATGAATTTTCATAAAGTGTACATGTTCACAGGAATATTTAAAATGAAACTGCAAAATATTGGGGGTTACATGTAGGCCTACATGGAATGTTTTTAACGCACATAGCCAGAAAATATGGAGGGTGGCTCTTCCCAAAATTAGGGCCTTAAATAGACCTTTGCATGTTTGTTTCAGTGGTCTTCCTGCATCACCTAGGCTATGTTTCCTTCTTCAACTTAGTTTTGCTTAATGTTGAGGGTCCTAAAACTGGAAGCCAGTGAGCTTTTGTGATGGAAACATGACGTCTAATGGATTATTTTGTTAGTCAATGATCTTATGTAATCGAATATGCAATAGCTTTTTTTGAGCAGTGAAAATTTGTTTATTTCCTCTCTTCCTGTAAAACAAATCAAGATATTCTTGCAACCGGGTTTTCACAAGAACGTGAAACACACAACTGTAAAGTCAGCGTTAAACTAAAGATCATCCTGGTGGTCATTAGTTTAGAAAGGTTTTAAAAGCCAGATTCACAAGCTTGAAAATCTGGTTCCCTGTGATTTTATTCTGTCACAGGATTTTATT